GCGAAATACGAAATGAGGAAACATGAATATGCAATTATAAAATATAACATGAAGAATTACTGGCACAATTTTTTTGAGGCTTTTTTACGATTACTTGGTTCGTTTGCTTATGTAGATTACTAAAGTGTTTTATAAAATTCGTCTTGTGATGTCATCTCTTTTATCAGTACTTTTTCCGCTTGATACATTGTAATTATAGGATCAATATTCAATGTTTTAAATTTAAAAAGTAGAAATTTATGGTACCAGATATATTTCATTACAAAAACCAAGCTAATGCACCATGGTATTCATTTATGCATGGAACTTAAATATAATTCGATCGTGCTCTCTAAACTCACGTGCTAGTGCATTGAAAATAAGTCACCAGCTGAAGGAAGAGGCGCTAATCCGCCCGTAACGTCAGGTAATTGCGTTAAATCAGGCAAATTGGAAATATGTGACTTTACTTCGTTCCGAACTGTGCATACTTTTTTAAGCTTTTCTTTGTAGTCCTGTAATATACCAGATACATCATTAGTTTCTATGCAACTATGCATTTAAATACAAACTATAACGAAGAAAATAATCGTACTTCTAACGTTGCTTGTGCCTGTTGAAGTAACTGCCTTTGTGCCAAAGTGTAATCTCTGAGCATAGTTAGCAATCTTCTTCTGTCTTCCATCTCTGCTTGCAATCGGCCATTGTAATCCGCTAATAGCGCGGCGGCTTCGTTCACAGCAACACTTAATTGATCGGCAGCTGCTCTGTCAGCCAAATTCGCAAGAAGTGAAACTTCTGAAACTTCTGGCGGCAGAGATGCGATACGTTCCCGAACGCCAGCATCCGAGGACGCTGTGTTTTCCAAGTCCTGAAATAAAGAAGGCTTTAGTAATAATTGCCTTCAGTTTTTTTACCAATGTACAAACAGATTGAAACCATTTAAAATGTAGCTTTTTCACATGATTTAAACAAGATTTACTTAAAACGGCGAAGCACTTTTTTCTTACATAACTATAAATCAAATCAAATAAAAATATTCGTTGCTTTTAAAATAATGAAGTATTAGTATAATTAACATAGAAACAACTGTCTTTGTTTCATTAATTAAGAAACGATACATACAGAATTATCATGAAGTAAAAAACAAAAGTACATTATACAAATCAATTAAGAATGAAACATATAATCATGAATAAAGTAAAGTTACTATTGGGGATGGAAATATGAAACTGTAATTATGCTTGCCAGTGTGCCTTGTGGATTCAATATATATTTTTCTATGAATAAGATAGTTTATTGCTAACGATACATATTCCGAATTTGTGTTGTTATTATAAGTCGTATTAACCATTAAGGCTTTGATAAGCTCCTCCGTCTCTGGTGGGTCTCCTGCAGGAGTGCGAGGACTTAATGTTACGTGTAGTTCTTTGGTTCCATCCACTTCAACTTCAGTCTCTGATTTCTTTCTCTCCTTTTTTTCCTTCTGCAACATAATGGATATAAAATAACAACATGCGTCAAATCCAACATAGACTGTAACAAGTATCTTACATTACCTTTATTTTCTCTACATCATTCTTAAGTTTCTTTTTCGGAGGCGGTGTGTCTGTATCTTTTGATGAAACTGTAAAAGCAGACTTAAACTCTGCAATTTGTGCTTTATCATAAACTCCTCTCTCTTCCCAAATTTGAAGCAACCTATTTAACCTGTCTCTTGTTTTCTCATCGAACCCTTTCATATGTTCAAAGGCTTTTGGTAAAACTGTTTCAAACTCCTTACCAAATTCAGGTCCTTTCTTTTTACTATTTTGTATAACATCATTCGCCAGATACATAAACATTAATTTCCTATTGTCCTTCACTGCAAAAATATATTGGTGATAAGAAAAACCAAGAACAACAATAAAAGTGGAAATAAATAATTTATCGTATTCATTTTGAACCATTTTATTCAAATCTGTAAATTCTAGTATCTTGTAATAAAAGTTTTTGATGATGAAATAGACGTGGATAACCATGAAAATTACTACAATTTATGGAACAATACATTTAAATGAACATAAGTATTTACAATTTGTTGATTGAATAGACCAGCTGAAATCATTTCTATAAACAAATATAATTTCAAACATACATATGGGGAAACATGTTACTGAATTAGTCTTTCATTGCAAATTACAATACCATACAAAGTACAATATATTCTCGTCGTAGTTAAGAACAATTCAAATGTAATTTTGCAGTTGACATACTGTTACAATCTAATGTCTACAATTACGTAGCGAAAGTGTAACTTACGAGCTAACCTAGAAATTGATAGTTACTTCATATCTATTGCATTTGGAACGCCTTCCAAATCGATTTATTAACAGACAGTTCCTTGACATTTGAAGCCTCGAGTTTATTACAAGAAATAAAAGTAGCTTAGTACTTACGACATACCTTTACACATCTCTTTAAACCAGACTTTAACGATGGTCGGATGATGTTTTCTGTGATGAATTAACCAAAGGGAGAGTGTTTGAATACTTTGTTGAGAAGGATTTAAGTCCATTAACCTTTTCACAAGTGCACTTTCTGTAAACCCTGTCATTTCTCAAAATGTAACGCCGTTTCGTCAGCAAAGAACGTACAAAAAGCCCTTCGTATTCTCACTAATGAGCCGCACGCACAATTGCAGTGCACGACTCAACCTCAACAACTCAACAGCAGGGTTCTCGTAATTTATCCCACGACCGGAAAGTGGGGACGACGCGACCATGATGGGGACCAATAGTCGGTGGGGGTATGCAGTGATTTTCACGGTAGCGCTGCGGAGTATCGAAATACGGGCGAAAAACAGGGGAAGCGAGCCTTGTGGGATAAATTACGAGACCCCTGCTCAATAGCTGAAATTGGCTGAAATACAAACACGAACGCATAAAATACTTTCTACCTGCAACCTCTACGATTTTCCAAGAATTAGCGAGACCTTTTTGTAACACTTCCGACTACAACGCGTTGCACCTTCGCTCCGCTGATAAAACAGAATGTCAATGTTACCCACTATATTCACCAAAAATACGGGTTTACGCTCTGTGGTTTACGCCACGGTCGTGTATACCATGAAGCTTTGCTAATTCGCCACGATACGTAGTGCGCTGCGATTCAGTTCAGTGTTCAGTTGCGAGCTTGCGAGCAGAGAACTGCAAAAGACGGGCCCGGCGGGCCACGGGCTGGAGCCAGCTTTGAGATATTTTTTCCCTCGGCCGCAAAGTGGGGACGACGCGATCATGGTAGGGTCTGGTACTTGATGGGGGTATGCTAACGAGAGCCCTGCTTCAGTTTGGTAACAGCTTACATACACAATAAATATAACCGATTTGCAGAATCAGAGATACAGTAGAAGCCAATGAACAGGATATTATCATATATGGATAAGAAAAATGTTTTCTACTTTTACGATAATGCAAATTTCTGTACGAAATTTCATTAAGCAAATATATACATAATTTATACAAAACATGCAATTTGCAGTAAAAGTAAAAATTAGTCCCGTACGTTCGATATGCATGTGTTTATTTCATTTGATTGTGCATTCACATTGCCAATAAACAGCCGTTTTCTTCAAAGTTTGATGGAACCTTTTTGTATATTTGATATCTCATTGTTTTTTATTCATAGTCATTCAGTTAGCTCTGTTCCTTTCTTTATTATTGATCCTTTTATTCAAATACTTTGATCAACCATTAGATAGAGTAAACCTCGTAACATAACTTCCACAGTATTTGTTGTACATACGATAAAAAATTTGAAACAAATTTTGCAGGGAACATACAGTCTTATGATTTGTTTTTTGTTTCTCTACTTTTTTGTCAAGATATGAGAGTCATCCACAGTTTCTTACATTGAATGCTTATCATTTTTTCTCGACTTTTAACAAAACACATTTTCTGTATGAGTAAAAAATATTATATCAATGAGAGCTGAAAATTAATAATTACTTAAACATTCTGAAATTAATAATCTTTCATTAGGAAATATTTCATGTGCTCAGTCAACAGGATTGGTCACCAGATTATTGGACTATATTTCAGTGAAATATCACTAATGGGTCGAACATTCCACATTTTTATATATGTATATAATGCCTTATTGATCGGTGCACGAAACTATACAATTCCATTTTAAAAAATGTTGATGACTTTCATATCTCTTCTACGCATCCATCTACAAAATAGCTTACGATTTCAAAGTATACCTCTTCCGAAGCCATTCAACATTATAGTATAATGTATATAAACATTCTTTGCTACGTATAATAACGATGAAAATCGAGGTCGTAATATCTGGTGAACCATCCTGTATAACCGAAGGTGACTCTTGTATCTCGAGAGAAAAGCACAGAAACAAAAAACATATCACGGTACTGTATATCGCCCTGAAAGCCCTGCAACATTTGTTTAACAATTTTTATCGTACAACAAATACCTTACGAGATATTCGAAGTAATACTAGACTCATGCTGTATCCAGATTTTATTGCGAGTCTCATCCGCCGCGAATGAAATCTGTGAATAAAACTTGATGTGAATAGCATCCAACGAATTTACATCATAGATAGATTTGTAACTTCATTATCTACTTATGAATGGATCGGAAATGAATTAAAACCGTGGTATAGTTTGCACATGTACGGAAGTCCAACTGATCGAAAGAGATCAAATATTTGAGATTCGAAAAGGTGTGGTTGAGAAAAGAATAATACTAATTCCCTTCACATTTTCAAATATTTCTCCCCAAGCTTTGCCTTTAATAATACAATTCTTCTAACTATTATGACTCTTGTTATGTAATATCAAGTGGTTCGCAACAATTTCAAGTAAAATGTCGCCCTCCGTTGCGGAGAATTGGAATTCTTTGTTTGAGAGGTAATTTTAGTTATTAATTCTTAAATCTTAGAAATTTCGAATGATCAACGTTAAACATCGCGTTCAAACTTTAGACTCGTAATGAAGCAAGCTATGCAACATTTGTTTAAAAATTTTTATTGTATAACCAATACCTTACGAGATATTTCGCCATGTTGCCAGACTCACCCTGTATAAAAGATCCGTTAATCAATAAAATCACGAGTATTGACAGTGACTGTCACTATTATTTAGTACATTAATTTGATGTACGGAAATATGTAATGTCGTCATGTGGAAATTGGAAGTAAACGGGATTAGTGATCCGTTGAAAATTTTCGAAGTTGCGAACAAAAAATAGTCCCTGTGCAGCCGCGGGGACGGGGATAATTCCGCGCGACGGTTCATCCTCGCGTGTTACACACACGCGCGCGGTAGGAGGGGATAGCGAACGCGGCGAGCGGTTAACACGCGCGAGAGCAAACGCGGTGGCAGCGGTGGTGGATTACGAATGGAGCAGTCTAGATCTGTCATTCAGTTTAATCGTTTCCTATGCACTCCGCCGTGCCCATTGTCGTCCGGGCTCTATAATAATTTAATGCCAGATATAATAAGTTACTTGCTGTCTGGCCGGTTGCCAGGCTTGCCCTATTCATTCCTCTATGAAAGCTGAAAAGCGGCCGGTTCCCGCCGAGCAGATGGAGCGTTAACTTATGGACCTGTGCGCGCTTCGCGCTGCGCTCCACTGAATTTAAACCGGCCGGCCCTCCGCTCGATCTTAATTGGTTAGCCCCGCTAATTGAGCCAGTCATTATAGGCCATTAACGTGCGATCAACCGGTATTAGCATTTTTCTGCTCAAAAGGGAAACAATAACGCCTATGGGACTATCAGGTTTCCAGCTTCCAGTTAGTAGGATGATGGCAATAAAATTTTTGTTGTTCGATTGTTCACTAATTGTTAGGATATCTCTGATTGTCGGAACAAGGATATGAGAGAGGTTAATAATCTTTGGATGAAATTAATATATCAGTATGTGCGTTTGGATGATATCGTTTCTTACACGGTGGTTACAAAATCGATATATCGACCATTTTTCTTTATGAACATAAACTTTGTATCTAAGTAACTTATGAAGTTTCACTTACACGGTCGCTCTATCCTTTATCTATGATTTATGACTTTTTTTAAAACACGTAAAATGGTTTGACAGGAAGAATCGTTTAAAAGAAGAGTGCAATCAAAAATGCTTCCAAAGAATGGTTTCATTACAAATTAACTTTCATTAAATTAAAATGAACATCTTGGCGACTTTTATCTTCATGAAATTTTTTTATTTCAAATTAGGCTATACTTTGAGTTCTGAATATTTAAGGTTATTTCTTTGTTTCAACAAATATAAGATAGAACGTCACACATATTGTATATGTATAGATGAATTCAGACTGAATCACTCGTGTACTTCTTAGTACTGCTCTAGTTAGCACTGTCCATTGCGGTTGTTAAGAGACCGTCGATCTTAAGAAAGTTCTTAACCACCGGCAGTAGTGATACACAAAGTTCCTAAGTAGTCCATTGATAGTTTTGAATGATGCGATCAATTGAACCTACACGTGTTCAATTGTATAACTTTGTTAATCGATTTTCAATATTTCACTCCGAAATAAAAATGATTAATTGTATTGAAGATTTCTAAATTTGTTGGTAATACGCTGCAAATTGTATAGATTTGGTGTGTTTGTTATTGTTAAATAAATCTTTATCTTAGTATTTCGATTGAATAGAAGTATTTAATATTTGAGGCGTCGGTTTGGAGATGAAACAGGTTGAATAGCTTTTAATATATGACAGTATCCACGGTGCTCTCGCGTTTGTAGGCAAACGGTTGGAATTAATATCAAGAAACTGGAAATTTGTCGGCTGGAGCGTAAGACATTTTAATTACAGCAATTTAAATTCAATAATTTTGGTATTTTGCTCGGGCCGGAGGAGCTGCGCAGCTGTTCTGCGAATTAGCATACTAAACTTTATCACCAACAGCTCGACAAAGACGTGCCAAGACGGCTGAACTAATTTCGAAGATAGAATAAAGTTGGAGGCGTGCGCGCTCGTCCCTAACCGCCTTCGGAAATCAGAACTTAAAGCAAACTATCTTCGTCATTACTATTTATTTTTGCCCGGATCCCACTTACATTCTACTGAAAATAACGCTAGTCTCCTATGGTCTCTACAAAAGATATTCAATTTTTGTCATCATCCATAAGTCGAATTAAAAGCAATTTATAGCTTAATGAGATTAACTGTATAATTTTGTTATACTACAATACATTTTTCGAGAAGAATTAATGAAGTTAGTATTAATAGTACATAATCATACTTCATTATCGTGAAACATTTTTCTTTAACTTTGGTAAAATGTTTAAGATTATGCAAATTTCCCACTTACTTAGATTAATATAATCAGATGGTTTAAAATGCAACGCACAAATAAGTGTTTGCTCCGAAACGGATCTCACTTGTGTAACTTCGATCCATTTAAACAGTAATTGTTCTTCGCGAGAAAACCGATGCATTGAAAAACCAGAGCCAGCGCATGTTTTGCACCCTTTTTATTATAAATATATATTATATATTATAAATTTATTATAAATACCATAATTCAGGATATCTTGCTCATTTTTATAGTCATTACCATCGGGTAGTAGCGGGTAAGTCATCTCGTATTTCTGGCGAACTGCTTGCTTTAAGAGAGAAAATGAGAGGGAAAGCGTAGCGCACAGAGAGAGGAAAAGGAAGGGACAGATGTAGGTAGGTAGGTGTAGGTAGGTAGGTAGGTAGGTAGGTAGAGAAACAAACGGCGTGAAGGCGGACAGAAGTGAGACAGAGAAGGGA